TGGCTAGATCGACTCGGCTAGTGACCCTAATCAAGAATATATACCCTTTTACTCTACGAGTAACGGGTATAAAAATGGCTCAAAGTATTCCAACCAAGCCTATTGCTACAAAATGGATCGCGCGTTCTTTCAAATCTTTCGAAATATTTTGAATAAAACCAAATAATGTTGTGAAGATATTCTTAAATAGTTAGGAATTGATTTAAAGCTACATAAACAAAATTTGAAACTGCTATAGGAGGTTTAACCTGTTAAAAAGCTCTAATTTTTCCTGCAGCAAAAAAGATTCGCTTCTTATTACGTGGATTTGGTTATTAATTACTACATAAGAAAGATATGCCAAAAGTGGAGTTTTGGAATATAAAATTATTTAAAATATGTAGAGTATTGGAATTTAATGGTAAATGGGCTAATCTTAAAGATTCAGCTTTAGAGAAAACACATTTTCCCTTACCCCTTTGAATTTTAATAATCAAAAAGCAATGTTACGACTGAAGCATTACCCTGCATTAGCACTGCGTCGACTGCGACGCCGGCAGAGCCTCGGCAGAAGCGACTCTCTCACCAACCCGTCTCTCTCAATCACCGTCACCGACGGATCCATGGTGGAACTATACAAGGTGATCTCGTCGCGAGAGCTGCCCTCTTTTGAGGACGTTATTTGTGCCAGTCTCTATCTAGCTTTCTCATTCTATCGCTTAAGAGAGACAGAGAGGTAAACATATTTAACGTCCTCAGCAGAGCTGACGAGACAACCTTGTATAGTTCCACCATGGTCCCAGCTAAAGGCTTTAGCTACCTTTTTGCCTCTCGCTTACTCCTATGCTTAGCTTGCAGATTTCGTCGTACTCTTTTTTGTTTTGTTTTATCTTTTTTGTTTAGGAAGTATTTATAATTATATTTATAAAGTTAATAATTTCCTTTTCATCTTTTTTATTTTCTTTTATCGGGTGAACTTCCGTTTAGCTCCAACCCCCGATTTCCTTCAAACTTTCAAAATCCACGTTATTTGGGGTCCTGATTATTGGAAAAATAGTCAAAGTTGGCGCAAATAACGGGATCATGGAAAATAACGGTAAAAACTGTTTTTCTTAAATATCTTCGAATATAATAACTTAATCAATAAGCTAGCTAGGAGAAATGAAAGCTAAATGAGTATTTTATGTTTTATACATTTTTCTGTAAAACTAATAGTTTTCGTTAAAAACGCAAAATAAGAATATTTTTTCACAATGTTTGAAAATAAAAAACCGTTGGAGCACACTTGCGTCATGTTGCCCGATATATCGCACGAAAGCCTCATCTGGTATCGGTGTGTCAAAATTTATATCGAATGTCTCTCGATGTATTAGCGATGATACTACCTGAGCACGAGAATGGCATTACATTTTTTAGGAAGAGCATTTCAGTTCTCGTAGTTAAATATAACATTTAGAAAACAAAATAAAATACAAATTATAAAACGGAAATAAAATGTATTAACAAAAAATACATATAAATCATTTATAAAGTCGCAGGCAAAAATTTTTTTGAACAAAAATCGCGGCGCTTTCCTCGTCCGTACCGTACTTTTAAAAGCTTATCCAGCTTTCATTGAGGGCATCCGTTCCATTTCCTTTTTTCGAGGAACATGAACACGATACATCGTATAAAAAGGCAAAATAGGTCCATCACTAGATTAGAAGGTAAAATGCTGTTATCGACTAATCGAAAATTATATGTCGCCATTTTTTGGCGGGATATTGCAGTATTTTAAAATGTTCACACCCAATTTAAAATACTTCTTTTAGTTTTTCCTCGAAAACCTTTATGTTTACGAAGAAAATGATTAATACTACCACCAACCTACTTGAATTGTCATCAATTGTAATAAATGGATTTAACAATAAAATGCAGACTGACGTTGTATATACAGATTTCAGTAAAGCCTTTGACTCTGTTAACCACTCTCTTCTTTTATTCAAATTAGATTTGCTTGGGTTTCCATGTAATCTATTAACTTGGATTTCAAGCTATTTGAATGGGAGGACTCAGAGGGTTATATTTAAGAACGCTGTTTCAAAAACGATCCATGTGACATCTGGAGTACCTCAGGGTAGTCATTTGGGCCCTTTGCTGTTTACTTTGTTTATAAACGATCTTCCCTCTATTGTAACACATTCTCGTGTACTAATGTATGCTGATGATGTTAAGCTTTGTTTGACATATAATAATATCAGACATTGATCATTTTCAAGTATGGTGTGAGTATAACCTCTTAAATTTGAACTGCCTAAAATGCAACGTAATGACCTTTTATAGGGTTACCCCTACCTTTATTAGTTATTCTACCTCCCTTGTCCGTCCTATATTGGAATATTGTTCTTCGGTTTGGAGCCCACAATACCAAGTCCACATTGACCGTATAGAGTCGGTACAAAAAAAAGTTCTCCTTTTTGCCCTTCGTAGTTTGAACTGGGATCAAAACGTAAGGCTACCTTCCTACCAGAGTAGATTATTATTGCTTAATTTACCGACACTTGCAAATCGTAGAAAAATGCTTGGTACCATTTTTATGCATAATCTTATAAGAGGTGATATTGATTCTGTAGAACTTGTTAGCCGCCTAACTTTTAATGTTCCCGTTAGACTAACACGTAATTATCATCCTCTTAATTTACCTCGATGTACATCAAATTTTGGTCTGCACGAACCCTTTCGCGTTCTATGTAATAACTATAACGTTCTTTATCATTTAATTTGCACATCAACTTCTATCCCGGTATTAAAAACTAACATTTTAACTCATTTGCTTCACTCCTAACTGCATGTTTTTTTCATTATTTGTCTCGTATTTATTGGTTTTATGTATTCTTCCTCGCGAACTCGCATTTTTGATACGCGCCCCGCGCGTAACAAGCACGTGCTTGGTGTCGTTGGGCCACTTGTTTGTACTTCTCGTAGTGCATCAACGTCCATCATATAATACACAAAAGATCCGTTTTATAAATACTTCTGTTTTTGTCTAAAACATTTTTTGATTTTTCTTTTATTTTCGGAAAAAACTGCAAAAAACCGAAAATTTTAAGATTTTTACCGTTATTTTTCAAGATTCCGTTATTTGCGCCAACTTTGGCTATTTTTCCCGTAATCAGGACCCAAAAACACGTCAATATGGAAAGTTTGAAAAAAATTGGGGGTAGGAGCTAAACGGAAGTTTATCCCTTTTATCTTTGTTGTTTTGAAAATAAAAAAGTAAAATATTTAAGCATTTTATTAAAATAAAGAAAATTTTCTAAGACAAACATTTTTTTTTCAAGAAAAGTACTTTCTAAATTTTAGGAAAATTTCTCAATTTGATGGCAATTTTTCAAGATTTAAATTTTAGAAAATTCTTTTTCAAAAAAATACGGTAAATCGCCATCGACGGAAATCCATGGCGAATTTCTTGATTTAATGGCGATTTCGGGCTGTTTTTTTTTTAGAGTGTAGGGCCACAAACTATGCTACTTTTACAGAAATGTTTGTAATGAAATCGCCTACTGCCTGAACCTACCGTATGTTGCAATTTGTGTTAAAGGTATTTTTATGAGGGAAGCCAAAATATTTCAAATTTAAGTGCTTCAACGGCCCAGTATGTAGGCCGTTCGCTCCTCGCGCGGGAGAACCGGGTACGATTCTCACCGACGGACAAGTAAAAATGTAAGTTTTTTTCATAAGGATACAATATTAACTAATCACAATTTTCTACATTCCACACCCCCCGCAGTACGACAGTCAGTCACTGATTACGGGAAAAACAGTCAAAGTTGGCGCAAATAACGGGATCATGGAAAAAGCCGGTAAAAACCGTTTTTCGTGTATATTTTTGAATATATTTACTTAATCAAAAAGTTCTCCAGGAAGAAATGAAAAGTTTTAAAAAATGAATAATTTATGTTTTATACATTTTTCCTGTAAAACTAATAGTTATACCCGTTACTCGTAGAGTAAAAGGGTATACTAGATTCGTGCAAAAGTATGTAACAGCTAGAAGGAAGCGTTTCCGACCCCATAAAGTATATATATTCTTAATCAGGGTCACTAGCCGAGTCGATCTAGCCATGTCCGTCTGTCCGTCTGTCCGTCTGTCTGTCTGTCTGTCTGTCTGTCTGTCTGTCTGTCTGTCTGTCTGTCTGTCTGTCTGTCTGTCTGTCCGTCTGTATGAACGCTGAGATCTCAGAAACTACAAAAGCTAGAAGGTTGAGATTTCCCACACATATTCTTTGGCTTCCTACGCAGCGCAAGTTTATTTTAGCCGAGCGCCACGCCCCCTCTAACGCCCACAATCGCCCACTAACGATTTTAAAATGGGTCCTGCGCCCACATCTTTAAAGATTTCCGAGAAGTATAAATGCAATTTTGTTGTGTATATTTATACCTATCGAAATGTAGAAGACATTTTTCAAATCGGACCATTCATTAAAAAGTTATACGCAATCAAAAATTATATATCTATCTCCCTCGCACTCCATTTAGCTGAGTTACGATTATTAGTCGGGACACCAACCCGACACAGCGTTCGCACTCCCTTTAGCTGAGTCACGGGTATTAGATAGTCGGGACAACAACCCGACTATAGCGTTCTCTCTTGTTTTCTTTAAAAACGCTAAATAAGATTACGTTTTCACAAGAAAAATAAAAAACCGTTGGAGTGCGATATGTCGCACGAAAGCTTGTTGTTATATCGGTGTGTCTATAATGATATCGATGTCACTTCATGTTTTAGTGATGGTACGTGTTGCGTCGGCAACTTAAATATCGCCGCCGCGACCATGCATCTTGTCCCATTCGCACTCACAATTCATCGCCCCGTACTCAACGCGCCCAAAACCGCGGTGGCGCCGATGCGCCCCTGCAAGATCGCGAAAATTTTCGAGAATTTACCGCTTTGAAGCCGCGGTACTGACATCTCTTTCTCTCTTGCACGTCTCCGCTGCCAAAGCCACGCAGTGAAGTTGCGCAGTTGTAAAAAGTTGGTGAACGGCGTAGACGTGCGAGCAGACAAGGAGAGCACAAATGTAAGATAATATGTAAATGAATTAACACAAATGCTAACATGAAATAAAGATTTCAGTTGTTATTTTTCTGATCGACTGTTTCACAAATTGAACTACTCGAAGTCTGTGTTTTACGTGGAAGGAACGTCTCTCGCACCAGTCTCAAGCCAACAGTACGAATAAAGTCTATATAAAAAGTATAAGCTAAATATAAAAGTTCTCTATCCAACAACCTTCAGTTGTAGTAGTTAAAAATAAAGGTAACAAAACAAAATAAAATATAAATTTTAAAACGGAAACCAAAGTGATAAAAACGGCACTTCTAATCGCGGCGATTTTTGGTAAAAAAAATTTTTCCTGCGGCGAACTACCTCTTCGCCTACAAAAAAAAATACCATTTTGAGGTCTTCGCATTTCGAGCTTTAAATCAGCGGTCGGCAGCGTCCTATTAAGTGAGCATAGGAAATTGATCTGCTAATTCTCTGCCTCTCACTTATTCTGTACAGCAGCGATCTGCACACGCACACTGATAAGCTGCCCCGTACAATTTACTCACACAAATATAAAACAAAAGGTAATTGTATGTGTGTGCCTACCGGGGGGGTAGGGTCTTTGGCACCAAAAAATCGACAAACTTTGCGATTTTTTCTATAAAAACTGGTTGGATAGATTTAATTCAACCCTTTTGTATATTATTAAGTGTCATTTAAATAACATCCACAAATTGGTCTAGCCGATACTATCGGCTAATATATCGGTAGCAAAGCGATTGCTGGAACACTGCACCTCCGCTAAAAATGATCGGATTTCCATATTGTTTTTACATTTCGCTTAAGAATTAGAAAAAACCCGCCCCCTGATAAGCCTTTTTATTAATTTTTTATTTTTGAGAATTTTTTCGAGATTTCAAAGTTAAAAATGCGTTTTTCACCTAAAATATGTGACTGATTAATTTTAGCATAGCTTTTAAAGTTTTTGTCCAATAGACTTAAAACTTGTTTTGTATAATCTTAAGATGTTAATCTACGATACTGCAGTATTTTTATATGTTCACCACCTTTTTCAAATACTTCTTTTACATTTTTCTCGAAAACCTTTATGTTTACGTTTCCGTTTTATAAATATCTTCTGTTTTTGTCTAATAGGGTCTTCCCACAGAGCTCCATCCACCATCTACCATCCGTTGAACGGATGGTCCGTAAGGTTTTGCCGTTCCGAAAATTTCCCAGTTAGTCCGCCATCCAATTTTGACGGACTTTGACGGGCTCTTTTATGCGATAGTTGGGCGATGTTTTCTCGGTGCAACTCTGAATTCTTCCTCTTGACTGTGAAAATTGGAACGATGTCTGCAAGAAAAAATCAAATCGATGGCGGGAAAAAATGAAATATTGCTTCAGCTCATTGTTTTTTGGGTCTTTTTGAATTATTTGTAGTTTGTTATGAGCGGAAAAGCGTTCGCGAGCAGGTTGCTATGTGTGGGCCAAAATGTGCGTACGAAACCATCAATGTTTGCAGCAAAGTGTCAAAATATGTTCTGCACTTCGTAAATATAACTAATATTAATTAAAAGTGTACTTTGTACTCCTATAAAGTTCCAAAGTTGCTATAATTTACCAAAAACAGTATTAATTTGGTTTTGTTTACAAATTTTTCATATTAATATTGGCTAGGCAGAGGCGTAGTAAGAGCGGAGTGTGGGGTACGGGAGGTTAGGCTCCCCCCCAGTCAGCAATATGTATGCATACTCGTTGTAGGATATGTTATAAACGTTCAGATGTGTTTTTAAACTATTTTCTTAATCTAATTATTGTATTATTCTACAGTAAAATTAGGAGAGCGCAATTTTACAACAGTTTTCCCGAGTTGAAATCCCCCTTCGTTAATGTTGAGCTGAGCAACTGCTCTTCAGTCAGCTGTTATTGGATGGTAGATGGTGGATGGAGTTCTGTGGGAACACGAGTTTCACATTCGTCAAAAATCCCAACCGTTTCTAACGGATGGACTCTATGGGAAGAGGCTATAAAACATTTTTTGATTTTCTTTTTATTTTCCGAAAAAACAGCATAAAGAAAACAGGAAAGTTTGAACAAAATTGGGCTTAGGAGCTAAACGGAAATTTACTTTTAGTTATTGTTTGCGAAGTGCAGAACATGTACTGATACTTCGCTGCAAACATTGATGTTTTCGTTCGCAGAACAAACAATAAAGAAAGGAAAATTTTCGGAACGGCAAAACCTTATGGCCGTTCAACGGATGGTGGATGGATCTCTGTGAAAAGACGCTATTATTAAACGCTGTTATTAAATTGATAAGGAATTAATATCTAGTCTTTGCTTTTTAGACAGAACACTGTAGATGTTGTTCTTCCTCCATGGATGCAGGTGTTTTGGCATCAGCTGTTGCGATTTTAAGCGCGCGTGTGCAGAGGGCATGTCTGAACAGGGTATTGCGTCGAGTACTATCGATACATTGATAATGTTGTACATTTTTCACATCCCTAATCCATAATTTTGTAATTGGAATTACGGGCTGCGCAACTAGCGACACAATCCCACAATGGATTCCTCCACCAGTCTGGCGGACAAGTTGGCGTCCAAAGCAGCTAGCAGCAACTCACTAGACAGCAGCTCCAAGTCCAGTTCTCTGGGCTCCAAGCACGGTAGCGGGGAGAACGGTGCTCTGCGGGACACGCCCTTCGGTTACCTGGACGGCGAGGAGGACCAAGACCAGAAGAACGACGTGACCTACGTGTGTCCCTACCGCGGGCCCGTGTTCGGGGCTCTTACCATTACTAACTACCGTCTTTACTTCCGGTCGCTTCCTCTGCGGGATCAGGAGCCACCAGTGGTCGTCGACGTGCCACTCGGCGTTATTGCTCGCGTGGAGAAGATAGGCGGTGCCACGTCGCGGGGCGAAAACTCCTATGGCATCGAAATCTTCTGCAAGGACATGCGTAACCTGCGCTTCGCCCACAAGCAGCAGAATCACTCGCGCAGGACGGTGTTCGAGAAACTGCAGGCCAACGCTTTTCCACTCTCGTACAGTGGACGCCTCTTTGCCTTCGCCCATGCGGCGGCAAACTCGGTTAACGGAAACGGCGGATGGGACGGATGGATGGTGTATGAACCGCTGGCAGAGCTACGGCGATTGGGCGTTCCCAACGACATGTGGCGGGCTACCAAGCTGAACGAGTCTTATGCCATTTGCGACAGCTATCCGGCCGTGTGGGCTGTCCCTAAGGCGGCTTCCGATGATTTTCTGAGGCGAGTGGCAACATTCCGCTCTCGTTGCCGCCTGCCGGTGCTGTCCTGGATGAATCCTCGGACCCAGGCGACCATCACTCGGTGCTCCCAGCCCCTGGTGGGCGTGAGTGGCAAGCGAAATTCGGACGATGAGGCATACCTCAGTTTTATCATGGAGGCGAACGCACAGTCGGACAAGTTGACTATCATGGACGCGCGGCCAAGCGCCAATGCTATTGCCAACAAGGCTAAGGGTGGGGGTTACGAGTCGGAGGACGCTTACAAGAACGTGGAAATCAACTTCCTCGACATCCACAACATCCACGTGATGCGGGAGAGCCTACGCAAGGTTAAGGAGGCCTGCTTTCCCACAACCGACGACTCGAAGTGGCAGACGGCTATCGACAGCACTCTGTGGCTGAAGCACATCCGGTGCATCCTGGCCGGCGCCGTCAGAATTGTGGACAAGGTGGAGACCATGAGCACATCCGTGGTGGTTCACTGCTCTGACGGCTGGGATCGCACAGCACAGCTGACGGCCCTTTCGATGCTGCTGCTCGATCCCCACTATCGTACTGTGCGCGGCTTCGAGGTGCTTATCGAGAAGGAATGGCTTTCTTTTGGACACAAGTTCCAGCAAAGGGTTGGTCACGGCGACAACAAACACTCGGATGCAGATAGATCACCAGTTTTTTTGCAATTCATCGACAGCGTGTGGCAGGTTAGCCAGCAATTTAACAACGCATTTGAGTTTAATGAGCATTTCCTAATAACCATCGTGGATCACCTGTACTCGTGCCGTTTCGGAACCTTCCTCTGTAACACTGAAGCCGAGCGTGTGACCGAAGGTAAGTTGCATTTATAGTTGCATTTTCTTGAAAATGATTTACATATATTTTTAGATCTGAAACATAAGACCACATCCCTGTGGACGCATATAAATTCTTCGTTGGACCAGTATTTAAATCCCTTATTCCCTTCGTTCACGCACGGGGCTGAGCTGGTGCTTCGCCCCATAGCTAGCGTGCGGTCTGTCCGCCTATGGAAGGGTTTATACTGTCGCTGGAATCCTGGTCTATGCGCCCCACAGCATGGTTGTCAGCGAACCCGCGAGCTGCTCTCCAAGCAGGATCAGCTCTTCAAACTTGTCAATGAGCTGCGCCTTAAGTCCAACAACCGCAGTAATAGCATGCAGACAACTACCAGACTGGCCTCGCCTATGCACTAATAGTATTCCTTTTTTAATTTCCCCTACATGTAAGCATAAGTAATCTTATTACGAACTATTGCCCAATTCCAAATGCAACAATGGATTTTTAAATTAGAAAACAAGTCGGTAACACAATATGTTAATTCCCTATTGAGTTTTAGTTTTTCAATTACCGAACTAATTAAAAACAAAGTTATGTGTAATTGCCTTTTCTTAAATTACACAGGTCGACAAAATCAAGACTTTTTCTTGGCCCAAGAATAAACGCTACAAAACCTAAAAGAATGTTAGCTGTAGATTACTACCTCATCCTTGGAAACTTTCCAACACGTCGAAGTTTTTAGAAATCCGTGGTCAAAGTTACAAATTTTCGATTTTTAGGCACTTTTTGCGGCTTAATAGTAAAAAAAACCTTTCGCAGCCCAGAGCCACAATTTAGCGGAAAAGGTACTTTGAACCTTTAACTCCAAGAGTGTCCAATCACAAAGCTGGGCGACCTCTATTTCTTTAGCTACAATCGATTTTACAGAAGTACTTTTTGTCACTTTTTTTCATCTATAGTAGCCTGATATTTTTCTTGTTGAACTGAGACCCGTACACATACAATACATTAAAAATATCAGGCTACTATAGATGAAAAAAAGTGACAAAAAGTACTTCAGTAAAATCCATTGTAGCTAAAGAAGTAGAGGTCGCCCAACTTTGTGATTGGACAATCTTGAAGTTAAAGGTTCAAAGTACCTTTTCCGCTAAATTGTGGCTCTGGGCTGCGAAGGGTTTTCTTACTATTAAGTCGCAAAAAGTGCCTAAAAATCGAAAATTTGGAACTTTGACCACGGATTTCTCAAAACTTCGACGTGATAGAAAGTTTCCAAGTATGAGGTAGTAATCTACAGCTAAAATCCTTTCTGGTTTGGTAGCTTTTATTCTTGGGCTTTTTTTTTGTCGACCAGTGTTATTCGTGCTGTTTAAATTTTAGAAAAATCGCAGTGGAACCACACGTTTCTACATTTTAATCACTAGGCGGTATAACAGAAAATAAATCTTGAAAAAACTTGCTGGATATCAAAAGATATCATTTTTATGATCTTGATTTGGACGGATATGTATGTACCTTTTCATTGGTCTATTTTATATGATGTTTTGCTTTATCCGTTAACAGTAATTTGAAACTGCTTTCAAGATGTATGTGCGTAAATAATATTAATGGCCGTTTTACTTTATTTTGCCTGCCGGGACAACGGAGCGATAAACAAAAAATGGTTTACTCGTCCTTATGTTAGCGCAGGTAGGGACAAATTTTGTCTCGGTACTTCATCCAACGTGCAAAATTTGTGCGGTTGGATTGTGCGCAAATGTTGCCAGACATTTGAGCGTTGTCAATCTGGTTCCACTCTTCATTCGAAAACAGGTGATTCTATTTACAGTTAAATACAAATCAAAATTGTTAATGTCATCCAATTGATTTTAAAATGAATTCCCGAGCGATTTATCTTCAAACTCTGTGGGAAATCGTCGAATTGTCTGAAGTGCGAACCTATCGGCGCAGATATCACGACCAAAGAAATTACTTCGAACATTACAGTGATGAAGAATTTGTTAAAAGGGTTCTCTTAAGAAAAAGCGGTAAAATTTGTTTTACAAAAAAATGTTTTGCGACTTGAATTTAAAGTAAAGCAGTAAGTGCATTCACTTGATTTAACTAATTCCATATAATCACAAACCATTATTATCGGGAAACGATAATACATGGGTTAAGCTTCTAATAGCTCTTAGATTCTACGCAAGCGGCAGTTTTCTTATAACTGTAGGCAATTTTTGTGGTGTTAGCGTGGCCACTGCCAGTTAAGGGCGTTAATTTTGCTATAGCGTCTTTTTCAAAACAATTAATGAAGTACCGGCGTATTAAAGATCTTCAAGAAAATGTTGTTGATTTTTATAAATTAGCCAAGTTTCCGAAAGTCCAAGATAGGAGCCATAGATTGCACGCATGTAAGAATTCAATCTCCCGGAGGCGATTCCGAAGACACCAGTTCTACAAGAATTGTGTCCTGTTCATCGGTATAATTTTTACCGCGAAACTTTCTTTCTGCCGACATTGTTTTTTATTAGTTTGAAATTTTGTTTATATCATCAGCTGTTTGTATGACTGTTTTATGGTATTTTTCGATAGTTTTTCGATTAATTTTTGACAATTAGTTAACTCTTCTATTGTGGGGCTGCCACCCAGACTCAAATTAGTGCGCCTTTTATTTGGAGTTTTAAATGACGGACGAGAAAACGAAAACTGATTTGCCACTGGGATAAATTTATCCTTCTATTAGCTAAATTTTACTTTGCAGGACGGACGAGAAAACGGCCCTAAGTGTTTCAGAAAGTTTATTACATATTAACTTAATAGCGTATATTGTAGGGTAATAGAGTATATTGTATTCGTGCAAAAGTATGTAACAGGGAGAGCGAAGCGTTTTCGACCCCATAAAGTATATATATTCTTGATCAGCATCACTAGACGAGTCCATCTAGCCATGTCCGTCTGTCCGTCTGTTTTTTGAGCTATCGGGATGAAACTTTCCCAAAAGTCTTCTTTCTATTGCAGGTAGTATATATGTCGGAACCGACCGGATCTGACAACTATATCTTATAACTCTCATAGGAAGGAAACGTTAAAAAAATACTAGCTTCAGTGTTTTTTCAAATATTACCTTCTACTCTTGGGAATATTATTATACCCTTGTAGAGGGTATTATAACTTCAGTCAGATGTTTGCAACGCAGTGAAGGAGACGTTTCCGACCACATAAAGTATATATATTCTGGATCAGCACCAATAGCCGAGGGTATCTAGGCATGTCCGTCTGTCTGTCTGTCTGTCCGTCTGTCCGTTTCTATGCGAACTAGTCTCTCAGTTTTAAAGCTATCGCGATGAAACTTTCCCGAAAGTCTTCTTTCTATTGCAGGTAGTACATATGTCGGAGCAAGCTGGATCGGACCACTATCTTAAGGCTCCCATAGGAATATTCAAACAAATATAAGAAAATTAATTGTAACTTTGTAGGAAGTAGGCGCTTTGATTCTTGACTACTTATGTATAAACAAAATTAAAATAGAAACGGTGAATCTGGAATCCCTGGAACTGCACCGAGTGAGCATTACTTTATCTACAAGGGTATATAAGCTTCGGCTGGCCGAAGGTAGCTTCCTTTCTTGTTTTTTATATATTTCTGAATTTCGAATTAAATATTTAAAAAATCGGATCACTATATCATATAGCTGCCATAGGAACGGTCGAAAAATTAAATGGAAATTATCAGGAAAAAAATTATATCTTTGTTGATTTTTATTACACTCTCTTCTACTCTGGGTTATGACTATTTTTAAATTTTACCAAATTTCGATTTTAATTTTAAAAAGATCGAACTACTATATCATATCAAATAAAAACACCTCTTAACGAGGTAAAAAACTAGTGACGATCGCACCTTCAACATACAAAAGTTCTGATATCAACATTTGTGACGAAAAATTATTACACTCGTCATTAAATAGACTTTCTAATCTTTTCTCATTCGGCCCGCCCTAGCAGACTATTCCAGCCTTTTTCCCTTCACAGGCATTTTCTATTGCAGCGTGCCGAATAAAAAAATAAAAATAAATCACAAATGTTGATATCAGAACTTTTGTATGTTGAAGGTGCGATCGTCACTAGTTTTTTACCTCGTTAAGAGGTGTTTTTATTTGATATCAGAAGTTTTTGTTTGTTTACATTTGCTCTCATAGGAGCTAATATATACATTTAAATTTAAATTGGTCAATCATAATTTGTAAGCCATTGTATTTAAACAAATTAAGTTAAAAAGTATTTCAAAATACCTTTTAAACGAGGTATGGCACATGTCTGTACCTTTAGTAGTGTAGAACTTACAAACTAACGAAATTTAGCCATTTTTAGCTTTTTTCCCGCTAAAGTAGCGGCTTTTTCCAAAAGTCGTAGAACAAAAGATTCCTATATGGAACTCTTAATTGCAAATTTACTGATTCCATGACCCTAAAATACAGTTCGGATACCCTCACACAAAATTCAATACTCAGGAAGCTTTAGTTGTTCGAGCTGGCAAAAGTGGCTATTTTCGTATAAAAATAACTTTTAAACGTGACTTTTTACAGTAATGTGTTATATACCAAAATTTAAGGAATCTCAATGGCTATACAGTTTAAAGTTTTCAAGAAAATCGTTAGAGCCGTTTTTGAGAAAAATTAAAAAAAGCTAAAAAAATAGTTTTAAAAAATTGTCTTTTGTTCATATCTTTTTAATTATTACATTTACACAAATTGCATATAGAAGGCGTTTATAGCATTTAAAAATACCTTTCAAACAAGATGCAGCACAAGTCTGTAGCTTTAGTAGAATAGAAGTTACGGTTTTCCGAATTTTAGCTATTTATAGCTGTTTTCCCGCTAAACTAGCGAGTTTTTCCAAAAGTGGTAGAACAAAAGTTTTTTATATCGATGGGATGAACGTCATATTAAATTTTCAAAACTTAAGAAACATGTTTTGGACAAACTGACAAACTGACAAACTGACAAACAGAATTAAATTTTCATTTTGGGAAGAAGAAGGAAATCTTATTTTGGCTATAACTTTTGAACGGAGCTTCGGATTTTGACAAATGACCCCTCATTCGACGGGTATTTTCAAAAGGAATACAACTAAAACATTGCGAGGGGGCATTTATCCCCACCGGCCCCAACAGCTCCAAATTTCGAAATTTTCATTTTTTCACTTTCACCGCTCTCTCTCCCAAGCCAATTGATTTTCTTAAAGTCTTGGTATGCAATCCTTTAAGTATTTGCAATACCTTTCGATTGGTGTATTACTCATTACGATCGGACTATCACAGCAGATTTTCAATTTTGCGGCTATATAATAGTAGTCGCCTTCGCACACTCTCCTGGTGCGCTTCGTCACTACATGGACTGCCGTCCATAGTGATAGCTGCCATAGAAACGATAGAATGATCTGCAAGGGTAGCTTCTTTTCTTGTTATGTTTGGTTTTGGGTGGAAAAGACTAAAAGAAAGGTTAAAATATATAATCCTCCTTGGACCCCGATTTCTTCTGATTATCATAATAAAACAAGAGAGAACGCTATAGTCGGGTTGGTGTCCCGACTATCTAATACCCGTCACTCAGCTAAAGGGAGTGCGAGGGAGATAGATGCGTATAACTTTTTAATGAATGGTCCGATTTGAAAAATGTCTTCTACATTTCGATAGGTATAAATATACACAACAAAATTGCATTTATACTTCTTGGAAATCTTTAAAGATGTGGGCGCAGGACCCATTTTAAAATCGTTAGTGGGCGATTGTGGGCGTTAGAGGGGGCGTGGCGCTCGGCTAAAATAAACTTGCGCTGCGTAGGAAGCCAAAGAATATAAGTGGCAAATCTCAACCTTCTAGCTTTTGTAGTTTCTGAGATCTCAGCGTTCATACAGACACACAGACGGACAGACAGACGGACAGACGGACATGGCTAGATCGACTCGGCTGGTGATCCTGATCAAGAATATATATAGGTTATAGGGTCGGAAACGCTTCCTTCTAGCTGTTACATACTTTTGCACGAATCTAATATACCCTTTTACTCTACGAGTAACGGGTATAAATACACATGCATGGTTATGATCATTTTTACGCGGTTGTGAGGACTAGTTCCCAATAATACCAATTACTCAGATGTTAGGTATTTTAAATTAGTCTTATTTTGACTAAAAAGGAAAAGGGTACATATAAGGGGGATTCCCCAAACTGTTGAATTGCTGAATTGTTGAAAATTCAACAAAAAATTTCAACAATTAAGGGAACGACCCAAAATGGTTCCTGTTGAATTTTCAAACAGCTGTTATTTGTTGAAAAGTTTCACGGAACTTAAAGCATGTAAAATTTGAATTATTATTGCTAGTTACTGTCTAAAAGTGTTACCAAGGTAAAAAGAACCACAAATATGCTTTCTAAGTTGATTTTAAAATAAATAATGCGTACTGGTGATACTAAAATGTTACGGAGTTGCCACGACTTTTAAAAAAAGGTGACAACTCTGGTTTTTCAGTAATTCAACAAAATTTTCAACAGCCCCGAGGCTGTTGAATTGCTGAAATTTCTGAAAGTTGCCTTTGTATGGAACCGCTGATTAACAGCTGACCAAAATTCAACAATTCAGCAATTCAACAGTTTAGGGAATCCCCCTATATACATATATGATTTTTATCAGTGTTTGAAATGCTGAGATATAAGCAGCAAAATCTGTTAAATTTTAGCTTTGGGGTGCTTTGACTACTTGAAAGCCTTACAAAAATAATTTACTTCGGATTTGGCTTTTTGATAAACTTACAGCCAACAGTAAAAGCAAAGCCCGAATAGGCAAAATGCTGGATTTTTGGATTGCCAGCTAGCTGAATTTCAAGCTAGCTGAAACAGCAGCTAAATTTCTGCTTTTGTAGATTTTGAAATCAGGCACATATGGGGGTGTCACAGAAATTATTTCCAACCGAAATCCGTTAAAGTTCTTACGTGCATCAATGCAAAATCCAACCGTCTTCGGTTGGAAGAGATTTCTGTGACACCCCTGATATAGTATGTTTCTGACAGGTTGATTTGCTTAATTTCAATGTTACATTAAATGTTTTTGTTACAGAAAAATACGGTTAAATAGATTTAAAAAACGACGGATTGCTAGACATAACCCTTTTTATTCATATTCATCGTTTTGGAAAAGCGTATCAAAGTATCTATTGCAGCATCTAAAAAATTTGGGTTTAACTTGACTAGCAATATGTTTTCCAGTGTTTCTTCACTCAGTCGATTTCTGTTGTCGGTAAGGACCAACTTTAAAGTCGAAAATGCTCGTTTAATAGTAACCTGAGAAAAAAAGAAAAGGAAAAAAATATATAGTATTTTAGTTTTATTTAAAGTAGGAAAATATATATAAAAAAAAATAAAAATATATAACAATTTTTTATAGCAAACGTTAGGAAAGCATACTTGTTTTTTATAGCAAACCCGGAAACTTTGAAATTCAATTACAAGGGAACCATGGCCGACCGCCAAGTTCTTTTTGCACGTAAATTCTTAAGAAATCGCGGTCCATCGAGGATAATTTTTTTGCGAAATTCGGGGTGAGCCCGCTAATAAATACATATTATTACCGAGTTCTCTCTTGTTATACCCTTGCAGAGGGTATTATGATTTCAGTCAGAAGTTTGCAACGCAGTGAAGGAGACGTTTCCGACCCTATTCAAGCTTTGGTATTTTTTGAAATATTAACTTCTTCTCTTGGGAATGTTATTTTTTAAATATTTAGAAATTTCGAATAAAATTTAGAAAAAATCGGGACACTATATCATATAGCTGCCATAGGAACGGTCGGAAAATTAAATGCAAATTAATAGGAAAATAATTATTGCTTCGTTAGTTTTTATTGTATTCTCTTCTACTTTAGGATATGACTCTTTTTAAATATTTCCGAATTTCGGTTTTAATTTGATCAAAATTGAACTACTATATCATATAGCCGCCATAGGAACGATTGGAAAATTAATGAGAAATAATGGAATATTGAATATTTTTGCGATTTGTTAATTAATATGAATGATCTGCAAGGGTATATAAGCTTCGGCTTGCCGAAGCTAGCTTCCTTTCTTGTTTTTCTTTCGACCTTAGGTGACTCAAACCTTGCAGCACTCTACTCATTTGTACAGATGGCCAACTGTGGCGTGCACCAATTCATTCATAAAAACTACTACTTACAGGCGTCTGCGCGTTGGACTTCTCACGTTAAATCACACTTCGACACCACACCCCTCCAATCCATTCGGCTTTGCGCCAAAATAAAATCACAGTTGCCTCAGTACGATTTCGCACGTTCATTAGAACAGTCGTGTTTTGTTGGTCGGTAGGAATCCAAAAAGTTTATTTTTGAAATATAGAAAATTGAGCGTATAAAATTATAGGGTTCCGTAATAGACATTAGGTATGTCAACTAAGGTCTGTGGGGAGCTGGTACTTTTGTGCTTTGTGAGCTTGTGCTGCTGCAAATTTGAACCTGGAGAAGTGCTCCTGGTCATCGCCTGTCCACCCCTTCCCCTCGAAGCTAAAGATGAGTGCTTAGCATTGGCAGACAGCGTGCGTGAGCAGCGTAGGAAACTGGAACTGGCGGGGATCTTCCCCGGGGACTATGTCTTAAAGGTCCATGTGATGCACGAGCTTTTCAACTACTGGACCATGCTAGACGCACTTCCACATTTGAGAGGCCAGACACGTCTATTAGGACCTCGCACGGAATGGATTATATGGTGTCAACACAACACGCGTTTGACCTCGCTGCGCGGCCTGCTCGAGCAGCTGAGTCGCCAAAACCCCAGGGAGGTGAGTTTTTTCACCTGGCGGTCAATCCTGTGCCTGTACCGACGTGCTTTCTCCAGCTCTCCTTTTACGGTCACGCCCTGTACGATTCGGAGGCCACCATTATACACCATTTCTTGAGTTACAAGGACCGCTTTCCCTATCCCATGTTTAGCGCCGGAGTTATCTTCACAGGTGTTATGCTGCGCAGGTAAAAAGTTTTTAACTATCTAAAGAAAAAATGCATTCTCTTTAAACTTTGCTTCCATATGTATATGTATAACAATTTTGCATTGGTCAGGACGCAAAATTCCGATCGGCCTTACAAAAGCAAAAAAAAAGTTCAAAAAATTGAATAAAAGTCAACCGAAAAATCCTTAAAAATGGCCAATTCTCTGCTGTCGCACGCGACGTTCGTACGCTTTGCAGGTGAAAAAAACCATTTTCCTGGACATTTTTTCTTTTGGCACTAAGCCCAAATGAAAGGTCTTGATTAGCACTAAAATATGTGCTAGGGCTGACCTTGGGACATTTTTCGTTTTTAAGATATATAAAAAAACCAAGACTTTCGCACGCGACACCAATAGAAGTGACTTTTTTGACTTCCTGCTTAACTTTCGATTGTAACAAAACGTGAAGGAATATTATAATGCAGTTAATTTTATAGTGTTCCTTGTTCTTTCTTTAAAATGTATTGTGTTAGGTTACATGTTGCTACATGTTGCACGCGACAGTTTTTTCCGTCATTTTCTTAGGTGGTTTTTCTGTAACCTTAACGTAAAAAAACCGTTTAAGAGCCACTTTAAAAAATACGGAAAAATTACAAAAAATGAGTTTTTTGCCCATATAAAAGGTACTGTCCTGGAAAATTATTCAAGGATACTTAAATTACACTGTGCAGCATTTTTAGTGCTTTTTAAATTTACCTCGATGGATGCTATATTTTTGGATTCGTTACGAATTCCCAAGTTAAACTGCGTTTTCTAAAAAGTTCCCCGACGCAAGGATTCTTAGCAAAAGGACCTCAAAGTTCGAAAAATGCTGAAATTGGCCAACTTTGCGGAGCTCTCAGAGGCATATGGATGCATGGCATCGTTCGAAGTTAAAGTTTTTTAAAAGATACACCCTTTATCTTACAAACCCCATACATAAAATAATTTTAGGATTTTTTTTAAGGCAGAAATAAATTCCAAAAAACATAGTTAAAAAACTGAAAAACATACAGCTGCGGTCAAAATAGTAGCAGTGTTGCCGCCTTGTGTTTTTAAAAGTTTGATGTTGTAATTTTTTCTTATCCAATTAGTCTAATAGTAAAATTATAATCAATACAATATTACCAGGAAAAGATCAATTACAACAACAAACTTTTAAATACACAGGGCGGCAACACTACTACCATTTTGACCGCAGCTGTATACTTTTATGTTTTTTGACTATGTTTTCTAGAATTTGTTTCTGCCTTTAAAAAAATCTTAAAAATTTTTTAAGTATGGGGTTTAAAGATAAAGGGTGCATCTTTTAAAAAACTTTAACATCGAATCAAACCATGCATCCATTTGCCTCTGAGAGCTCCGCAAAGTTGGCCAATTTCAGAATTTTTCGAACTTTGAGGTCCTTTTGCTAAGAATCCTTGCGTCGGGGAACTCTTTGGAAAACGCAGTTTAACTTGGGAATTCGTAACGAATCCAAAAATATAGCATTCATCGAGGTTAATTTTTGATGCTGCATAGTGTTACTTATGTAGCTTAGTTAAGGATGACATCTTGGTTGACATCCTCAGAGAATTGCCCATATTTATTCCCGTTACTCGTAGAGTAAAAGGGTTTGTTCGTGCATAAGTACACAGAGAAAAAATACCAAAAATTGTCATCAATCGTCCCATCTGTGCTCATATCATTCCGAAAATATGAAATATAATGTCAAAATAATACATTAAATTTAACGTTTTTGAGATTTGTAAATTAATGGAAATGATCTAGAAGATCAATATCTGAGCCGATCCAGCCATGTTCGTCCGTCCGTCCGCCCATCCGACTGAACAAGAGATCTTGGACACTAAGTGTTAGCTGAATAACTTTATACTTTTTTCTGAATGGGGTCGTAAACGCTTCCATCTATCTACCTGTTACTTTTCAACGAAATAATTCGTTGGGCATTAAGTGGCGGACACCTAACAAATATCTTTTATTCCTCTCCATAAACAGAATGGTGGAACTTGTTGTTCATAATGCCCATAACATCACCCTTAATAGCGACTTTTCCATTGATGCCTCTCATGAGCTGGCGCGCTTTATTTACGATAACGTATCGCCCAACCCGCAAGAACGCACACCGATGTCTGGGAAAATACTTCTAAAAAGTGCCAGCTACATTTGCCCGACCGCTGCAGCAGTGCAAGGCCCGGAGATCCCAAACAGAGGACCCTGTTGTTTACTGCATGCACAGCCAGAGGAGCCATCTGTTGGCCTGCTACCGGCTTCGGAGCACAGGAAGGAGCGTTGTGTAAGTTCATTTACGCCTTCTTGTAGTAAAATCATATAACATCCAAAGGGACTTTTGATTAAGATGAGGTATTCAAAATATTATGATTTCACCATTTCAGTACAAGGGAGTATGTTTATCACTCTTGAGATGCATAAACATAGGTACTTATTCCATGTTTTTGATGAAAAGGCTAAATATAAAGTTAGTTGGCTGCTTGCATATGTGCATCTGAATAACGGGTATTTGATAGTCAAGACACTCGTCTATAGCGTTCATACTTGATGCAACGCTTTTTTAAATTACATTTGTTTCGTGCCTTAAAGTTAAAATACTCCGTGCTACCGAATAGGTACCAGATTCATTTGTTTCTACCCCGAGCAATTAGCATTTGAAACCTGCATAACCATAAATTGTGTATCGACCCCGACTTGATTCTCTCCGTCTCCATATCTCCTTTCCTGGCTACCCCAATAACACGAACAGGTGTACACGTCAGGATCGAACATATATTTCGCAATCAAAACCTGTGCGAAATTCCATAAGGAACGCATAGCAATCATCGAACGCACCTGGGCAACCGAAGCCTGGAACAGAAGATACTACAGCGATGTGGCAGGTAAGCACCCCGATGACAATAAGCGGGCAATTAAACCAAATGGGGGTTCCGGTGCAGTGGGTGGTACATGCATGGGTCATACATGCACAAGAGACTAAGCTCTACGCATTAACAAAAACACGATGAGGCGGAGTGACAGGCGAACTAAACACATACGCAAATACGCATACATTTATGCATGGACAAACATCGGATTTCCCCCATTCCCGCTCCCCAGCATCACCTTGCGAGGAACGGCCTAACTTATTCAATATTCATTGATTTGACTTTGCGATTTTCCGCTCTCTCTCCGAAAACCTCAACAGACGTCGGCATACCGACAATCAGCACTGGGATACCGAATGTGCAGTCAGGACATTGTGCCAAGACATTGGCAATTTTACAATTATCCCTCAAGGATATCGGTGAACAAATGGGCATACGCTGGCTCATGCTTGTCGACGATGATACGCTGCTGAGGTGAGTGCCAAGCATTTTCAGCTGGAGAATATAATGCGACTAGATTCTGTAGATTCTTCTGCTGTTCAACCAATATTAGACTAAGTAAGGTTTCAGTGCCTGTGACTAAAAGTCAATTATTCATTTCATGTTCATCCTACACTTTTTAAAGGTCCGCGTTGCACTTGACTTCCAGCCAGCGTTGAAGTACGTGAAAAACTTAATACAAAATCTGGCTTGGGAATTGTGGAATTGTGGAACATTTATAATTATATCAAGAATATATAAACTTTAATTAAAATTGTATTGTTTATTGTTTTTATTGTCGGAAATGCTTCCTTCTAGCTGTTACACACATTTTACTCTACGAGTAACGTATACTCGAGTACTGTTACTTGTAGAGTAATAGATATGTAACATCTAGAACGAAGCATTTCCGACAATAAAAACAATCGAGTATTACTATAAAAGAGTAGATGTCGATTTGCGTCATGTTCCCCCAGCCTAAACTATAAGACCTAAAATTCTGGAAAAATTTGGTTCTGAATCGTGTGTTAGAGTAGGTGTGCACTAGCAAAGGACTTTTCAAAATTCGGCTCCTAAGAACTCCCACGAGTCTCGAAAAATGAGAAATTGCTTGATTACAACATCAACCATTCCCACAGTTTTCAATCAAACAAGTTGATATTTATACCCGTTACTCGTAGAGTTAAAGGGTATATTAGATTCGTGCAAAAGTATGTAACAGGTAGGAAGCGTTTCCGACCCTGTAAACTATATATATTCTTGATCAGGATCACTAGCCGAGTCAATCTAGCCATGACCGTCTGTCTGTCTGTATGAACTCTGGGATCTCGGAAACTACAAAAGCTAGAAGGTTGAGATTTCCCACACATATTCTCGGGTTTCCTACGCAGCGCAAGTTTATTTCAGCCGAGTGCCACGCCCCCTCTAACGCCCACAATCGCCCACTAACGATTTTAAAGTGTGTCTGGCACCCACACCTTTAAAGATTTCATAGGTATTTGTGTGCTTTTTATGTTTCTAAGGTTTTTGGGGGTTAGATCTGTTCGAAATAAACGGTAAAAAAGAGTAAGAGTTTTTCTCTGCATTCGCTTAGCTAACCAAAACTATATAATTAGGCTACCAGAACGGTGGAGTTAAGGTGGGAATAAGGTGAGGTTAGTGCGGGGTTAAGTTGCGTTTAAGGAGGTATTAGATAGATAAGGGTAAAAGTAATGTAAGGGAAGGGTGAAGGTGAGAAAGGGAAGGTTCGTTTGCACTTTAAAGAGGATAAGGTGGGTCAATGTGACAAACAAGTTTTACTAAGAACAAGAAAGGAAGCTACCTTCGGCCAGCCGAAGCTTATATACCCTTGTAGATAAAGTAATGCTCACTCGGTGCAGTTCCAGGGATTCCAGATTCAGTGTTTCTATTTTAATTTTGTTTATACATAAGTAGTCAAGAATCAAAACGCATACTTCGTACAAAGTTACAATGAATTTTCTTATATTTGTTTAAATATTCCTATGGGAGCCTTAAGATATATTGGTGCTGATCCAGAATATATATACTTTATGTGGTCGGAAACGTCTCCTTCACTGCGTTGCAAACATCTGACTGAAATTATAATACCCTCTACAAGGGTATAAAAAGTGAAGTTAAACTAAGTAAGTATAGTAAGGAACATTTTTTTTCAGGTGAGACTAAAGTTAGGTTCAGGGCTGTGAACCACTCCGGAGCTGAACCACTCCGAACCGGAGTGGTTCACTTTTTTTAGAAAACGAACCGAACCGTAAAACGGAGCGCCGAATTTTTTTATAATTGAACCGGAACCGAACCGGAACTTTTTTTTTTTGATATTTGGTTCGGTTCACGAAAAATTTATTTTGTGTGTTCGTGTTTTTTTTCAACATTGTGGGGGGTTTTCTGATTATATTAACGTAAAGTTTATTTACTAAGGGAAATAAAAATGCGCAAATATTTTGTCTATGCAATGACTGCATCTAACTCAAACAATCTAATAATATATAACTATCATCTTCCAAAACTTTTCGCAGTATGACCACATTAAAATTACTAAATTAATAAAATTAATAAATCATAAATCTTGTAACTTTACTTATAAGTCCTAATGTTATGGTACATGTTTCAATGAAAATACATGAATATAAATGTTAACTTTATTATTTCATTAAAAAAAATTTATTTTTGTGAACCCTGGTTCGAACCTGAATCATTGAACCGGTTCCCAAACCGGAACATTATCTGTCGATTAGGTTTGAACCCCGAACCGAACCCATGCAAAAATAATATGGGTTCACAGCCCTGGTTAGGTTAGCTAAGAAGAGGATAAACTGGAGCTAAGGTGGGTTAAGTCAAGGAAATAGTGAAAACAGCATTTAACTAAAAAAATGTGCCAAGAAGAAGGGTATGGATAAAATATTAGTGCGTTCTAGGTGTGTTTACTGTTTAGCTAACGTTACGAGGGATTTTACTCTGATATTAATTTGAATTTAAATATATGAAAAAACCAGCAATAAATGCATTGCTAATAGTAGCGGACAACGTCGCTTCGGGTATTGCTAGTGTATATATATTCTTGATCAGGGTCACCAGCCGAGTCGATATAGCCATGTCCGTCTGTCCGTCCGGATGAACGCTGAGATCTCGGAAACTTCGAAAGTTAGAAGGTTGAGATTTGGGCTTTCTACGCAGCGCAAGTTTACTTCAGCCGAGCGCTACGTCCCCTCTAACGCGCACAATTGCCCACTAACGATTTTAAAATGTGTCTCGTGCCCACACCTTTTAATATTTCCGAGAAGTATAAATGCAATTTTGCTGTGTATATTTACACCTTTCGAAATGTAGAAGACATATAAATATAATTATATTTTATGGTCATTATTTAACATAAACGATTACCAGTCACTGGCAACCTGGTCAAGTTTAATAATCTTAGAACTAGCATGTTGGATACACTTTTGGTATAACTGCAAGGGGATATAAACGTCGGCTTACCGATGCTATTTTCGTGTCTTGGCTTCATTTTTATTTTCCGGCTCAAATGCATGACGGCGCTTTCAATTAAAAACGATTATATTGATAGACCTGATTCATCGGGTATTTCCCGCCTCTCATCCATTCCCGCTTTTCATTTGACCACCCATGCTCTCAACAGTGTGTCCCGACTGAGCGGCGTGCTGAGCTGTCACAACCATACGGATCTCATGTATCTGGGCCAGCGCTATGGCTTCCGGCTGCATGCCCCAGACGGCTTCAATTATCACACGGGAGGGGCCGGCATCGTGTTCAGCCTGCCCCTGGTGAAACTCATCGTGGAACGCTGCAGTTGTCCCAGTGCCAGCGCCCCCGACGATATGATCCTGGGCTACTGCCTCCAAGCACTCGGTGTGGCGGCCGTGCCGGTTGCTGGCATGCACCAGGCCCGTCCCCAGGACTACGCCAGCGAGCTACTGCATCTGCATCCGCCCGTATCATTCCACAAGTTTTGGAACACGGACCCAGGGCACACCTACCACTGGTGGCTGGGAGGAAGCTTGCTCAATCGGAGTGTCCCGCTCGCGGCGCTCAAGGAACAGACTGCTGCTGCTCAACTGCACCTGCTTGAAGGACTTCCCCGGCTCGGCGATGTCGGATTCCTACAAGAGTCGGGGTTGGAGGCTGCGGGAAAACATTTGGATCTTTAAACAGCTCAGGTGAGTGCTAACGAAAAAAAAACGGTTGCCAGAGTCAGTTAAACAGAAGTTGGCGGGGAAACCCTAAAACCAATCTACAGACTTCAACCGAGTGCCAAGCACACAAATTCTCATTTTCTGTAGACCAAAAAATAAAAAGTCTGCGGCATCAGCATTCGGAGGGGTCTACTTATAGCTGTGTCTGTGTTGCGGCTTTCGTGTCAGTTTAATTAGTGAAAATGCTCAAATGTGGCTGTAACTTTCGTTGATGTTGCTTGCATTTATTTTGTTGACACGGATTTGAAGCCGTCAAAGACAGCTCAGAAACTTGCACTTAAAAGCGGAATTATTGAGAATTATTATTATTGAGATAGCGAAGCTTGAAGTCGTTTAAAAATAACGTGAATATTTAGACTTCGATATCAAATACATCTCCTCATCCTCCATTATCCTTTTTATGTAAATGTCGCTGCACATTTATAAATTTATAAATCGAGTATAAAAGAGTTGATGTCTATTAATTAAAATTAAAATTAAAATAAAATACCAAAATTAATTAAAATAAATTTTCAACAATTTTGTAATATGTCAGCTCTAATTGTTAATTGTATTAAATGTTAGATATAAGTGTAAAACATAAGTAGGGACCTACATATTTTTCATTTTCATTATACTTAATTTTGTTTTGTGACTAGTGCATTAATTTATAAGGAATTCCTTGTAGCACCAGGAAATAAGAAAGAAATAAATTTGCGTCAGCCAGCCCAAACCATAAGACCTAAAATTCTGGAAATAATTGGGTCTGAATCGTGTGTTAGAGGAGGTGTGCACTAAGAAAGGACTTTTCAAGTTCTTTTTGGCAGCACATTGTTTTTGTTTTTTGTATGCTTCGGCAGTTCGCAGCACTCACGAACGTCAGCAGAAACAGAGCGAGAGAGTAGTGAGCAGAGAGAGAGAGTCATTTGAAGCGAAAGAGAGGCGGCCAATGTTTTTTTTCTGGTTTGGAAATACCTGATCAAAAATACCAGAACGGAATATCTAATGGATGAAATTCTAAGTCAAAGTGTGTAGGCAAACCATAAAATGAACAAGGAATTTTTGTTTTTAATTTAAAATTATTTAATATTAAACGAGTGGAACACATCACTTCATTTGCTAATAGTATATACGGATTTAATTTTAAATCATGGAGTAATGCCAGAAATCTCATTCTTTTACATAAAATTATAAAAACCAAAGAACCCAGTTACTTATATGAAAAATTGAAATTTGGTACCTCGGCAAGAACCCGAAACATTATTACTATTAAACATAAGCTGGCATCTTCGGATCGCCAATTTTGTATTCATTCTATTCGGTTGTGGAATGAACTGCCACAACGTCTTAAAATAATTGAAAGCACATCGCAATTTAGGGACAATTTATTTATTTACATTTTTAAAATCACAATGTACCAATTAAAATGATTATTAAAATTAAAATAAAATACCAAAATTAATTAAAATAAATTTTCAACAGTTTTGTAATATGTCAGCTCTAATTGTTAATTGTATTAAATGTTAGATATAAGTGTTAAATTTAAGTAGGGACTTACATATTCTTCATTTTGGTTATACTTCATTTTTTTTTGTGACTAGTGCATTAATTAATAAGGAATTCCTTGTAGCACTAGGAAGTAAGAAAGAAATAAATAAAATAAATAAAACAAGAGAGAACGCCATAGTCGGGAGCCCCGACTATCAGATACCCGTTACTCAGCTAAAGGGAGTGCGAAGGAGATAGAGATAAAAACTTTGATCCGCCGTAACTTTTTAACGAATGGTCGGATTTAAAAAATTTCTTCTACATTTCGATAGGTATTGATAAACACAATAAAACTGCATTTTTACTTTTCCGAAATATTGAAAATTTTAAAATCGTATATAAGCGATTGTATGCGTTAGAGGAAGCGTGGCACTCTTTTGAAACAAACTTGCGCTGCGTAGGAACTCCTAGAATCTGCATGCAAAATGTAAATCTTCTAGCTTTTATAGTTTCCGAGATCTCAGCGTTCATACGGACAGACAGACGGACAGACGGACATGGCTATATCGACTCGGCTAGTGACCCTGATCAAGAATATATATACTTTATGGGGTCGGAAACGCTTCCTTCTAGCTGTTACATACTTTTGCACGAATACAATATACCCTTTTACTTTACGAGTAAAAATTTTGGATTGTGTTTCAAGGGCGAGCGGATCTGTTTTTCGCTTAAAGCATTTTGGCCGTAGCCTTTCATAGGTATTTGTGTGTTATTATCAGTGTTGGGAAAGGTACTGTGTTTTTTTTACCTAGGTAAGGTAAAAGGTATTGGGCAAAAATAAATACCTAGGTAAGGTAAAGGTACTTCAATTTCCCAGTACCTAGGTAAAGGTATAAGGTAAATATGTTGTTTTTTTTTTATTTTTTATAATTTTTTTGTTTTGTTCAATGTAATCATTTAAACTTAAAATAAGACTAGTTATACCCGTTACTCGTAGAGTAAAAGGGTATATTAGATTCGTGCAAAAGTATGTAACAGGTAGAAGGAAGCGTTTCCGACCCTATAAACTATATATATTCTTGATCAGGATCACTAGCCGAGTCGATCTAGCCATGTCCGTCTGTCCGTCTGTCCGTCTGTCCGTCTGTCCGTCTGTATGAACGCTGAGATCTCGGAAACTACAAAAGCTAGAAGGTTGAGATTTTCCACGCATATTCTTGGGCTTCCTACGCAGCGCAAGTTTATTTTAGCCGAGTGCCACGCCCCCTCTAACGCCCACAATAGCCCACTAACGATTTTAAAATGTGTCTGGCGCCCACACCTTTTAAGATTTCCGAGAAGTATAAATGCAATTTTGTTGTGCATATTTATACCTATCGAAATGTAGAAGACATTTTTCAAATCGGACCATTCATTAAAAAGTTATACGCAATCAAAATTTCTATATCTATCTCCCTCGCACTCCCTTTAGCTGAGTTACGATTATTAGTCGGGACACCAACCCGAGTACAGCGTTCGCACTCCCATTACCTGAGTGACGGGTATTAGATAGTCGGGACACGAACCCGACTATAGCGTTCTCTCTTGTTTTCAGTTTTTAGTCGTCTTAATCAAACAATATCTTTTCATTTTATTTAAATTTAAATGTTTTAATTTTGTGCATATATTTTTAAAACACGCGGCTTGAATAATTGTATGCACGTATCACTTCATTAATATATTTATGAAACCCTCATGTACATATTTGGCGCGCAAAAATTCCGTATGTAGAAACATTGACTATATGTATATTGTGCATATGTATATGCCGTTTGTTTACGTGCAAACGACATTTTTGCGCGCCAAATATACTTTGGTTTCATAAATAAATTGATGTAGTGATGGGAACATACATACGTGCACAAAATTATATAAAATAAAACTGCGATTAGTTTTAACTTCACAAAACAAACAATAGAACGGCTGAATTCCAATGACTTTTAATGCTGCGTTCCGACTATTACGATTTCGATGCGATGAAACGATACTACAGTGTCGCAGTCAGATTTGGCTATTTTAAATCAGAGCAATGTTTAATACCTATGTAAGTACCTTTATAATTCCAAAGGTATATAAAAATCTGTAGCTAGGTAAGGTAAAAGGTACTCAATTATTTTTATACCTAGGTAAGGTAAAAGGTACCACTAAATTGTACCTAGGTACATACCTAGGTAAAAGTATCTAGGTATGTCCCAACACTGGTTATTATACCTGTTACGTCTGTCCGTCCGTCTGTCCGTCCGTATGAACGCTGAGATCTCGGAAACTACAAAAGCTAGAAGGGCTTCCTACGCAGCGCAAGTTTATTTCAGCCGAGCGCCACGCCCCCTCTAACGCCCACAATCGCCCACTAACAATTTTAAAATGTGTCTGGCGCCCACACCTTTAAAGATTTCCGAGAAGTATAAATGCAATTTTGTTGTGTATAATTATACCTATCGAAATGTAGAAGACATTTTTCAAATCGGACAATTCAATAACAAGTTATACACAATCAAAAAAATGGTATATATCAATCTCCCTCGCACTCCCTATAGCCAAGTGACGGGTATTAGATAGTCGGGACAACAACCCGACTATAGCGTTCTCTCTGGTTTCTTATATATTCTTTTTTATGTTTTTAAGGTTTTTGGGGGTAAGATCTGTTCGAAATAAACGGTAAAAAAGGGTAAGAGTTTTTCTCTGCATTCGCTTACTAACCAAAACTACATAATTAGGCTACCAGAACGGTGGAGCTAAGGTGTGAATAAGGTGAGTTTAGTGCGGGGTTAAGTTGCGATTAGGGAGGTATTAGATAGATAAGGTGAAGGTGAGAAAGGTAAGTTTCGTTTGGACTTTAGTGAGGATAAGGTGGGTCAAGGTGACAAACAAGTTTTACTAAGGAAAAGTGGTGAGAAGGGGTGAGAAAGGTAAGGTTCGTTTGGACTTTAGTGAGGATAAGGTGGGTCAAGGTGACAAACAAGTTTTACTAAGGAAAAGTGAAGTTAAAGTAAATAAGTATAGTAAGGAACATTTTTTTCAGGTGAGGTTAGCTAAGAAGAGGAAAATCTGGAGCTAAGGTGGGTTTAGTAGAGGAAATAGTGAAAACAGCATTAACGTGCTAAAAAAGTGTGCCAAGCGTTAAAAATAAAATAGGTGGGGTTAAGGTGAGGAAATATTAGGGTTAATGTGGTGTTAAGGTAAGGAATGTTATGTCTAGGGTATGGATAAAATATTAGTGCGTTCTAGGTGGGTTTACTGTTTAGCAAAGGTTACGCGGGATTTTACTCTGATATTAATTTGAATTTGAATATATGAAAAATCAGCAATAAATGCTTTGCTAATAGTAGCGGACAACGTCGCTTCGGGTATTGCTATTTTATAAATAAAGGATTGACTTCACGACGATTTTCTTAAAATGTGAATTCTAACGAGCCTATTTTTGATCTGCCCACTGAAAGACCAGAAAACGAAGCTAAGGAACATAAGCTGAATATATCTGCCGAAGTCATGTTAAAGAGTTTTTACCCGTGAAGTGAAAGGGTATATTGTATTCACGAGAAAGTATGTAACAGGTAGAATTATTTCCAACCCTATAGAGTAAATTTCGAAAAAAATCTACAAGAAAAAAAATTTTTTAATAAATCGATAGAAAATTATTTTTATGAGTGTAGCCATGTTGGGATTGCATATTCTTGAGCTTTCAGCGCAGCTTTGTTTGAGCAGGGCCCCAAGCCCACTCTAATGCCTTTAATCGGCTGAAAGGACCTTAAAACAAGCCAGGCGCCCACACCCTTACAGATTTTGTAATAGTGCAAATTCCACTTTGTAGTGCTTGTTAATATCTATCGAAATCTTTCAAATCGAAATCTTTCAAGTTTCTATC